TTTAGTTTGTTATCCGTTGTACCGGAACAAACAGTATTGTATTTTTTTATATTCAAACGTTGTATTTAGCATTCTCTAGACGTTCGTGAGTTTGTGACTCCAGTTCTTGGGTAGAGGATTCTGTTAAACTTCCGCATTTTTCTTTCAGTTAATTATATATTGAGACTTCGGCTTTGTCCTATTGTTTTGATTTTATTCATTGAGCGAGAATTCCTAAAAGAAGCGAATTGATTTGGCTTGCCTAGCTCCTATTAGTAGGCGCCATCACGACTCCCGAGGGTGGAAAATCCGGGTCGTGACAATATATTTGATGATAAATTTTATATATATATATATATATATATATATGTATATATATATACTAATTAGGATCTTTACAAGTCTATCAATCCCTAAAAGAACCCGACCCTTATCTATATAGATATAGATATAGGTCAGGCGTTTTATTTTTAATATTCAACGATGCATCTAAGTAAGTTATAAGTCGATGAATCAATTTACAAACAGATATATTTGATGATAAATTATATATAGACTTGTGAAGATCCAAATTAGTATATATAATTTGTCATCAAATATATCTATTTGAAAATTGATTCATCGACTTATAACTTACTCAGATGCATCGTTGAATATTAAAAACAAAACGTCTGACCTATATCTATTACTAGTAAAAACAAAATATCTCGGCCTATATCGATTAATCTATGTCACACATTACTAGAGATGAATGAATGTAATCCATTAACTCTGTTATAATACAAATAATGAATACAGTAACATATACTATAACAAGCTATATATGTAGTTAAAGTAGCACAACGAAGTGTGTATGTTATATATATCCACACACTAACATTTACTATGACAAGCTATATATATGGTTAAAGTATTACAATGAAGTGGCTGTGTGTGTGTGTGTGTGTGTGTGTGTGTGTATAAGAACATGAAGAGCTAGGAACACAGGGTCGGGTTCTTTTAGGGATTGATAGACTTGTAAATTGATTCATCGACTTTTATCTTGTTTAGATGCATCGATGAATATTAACAAATGAAACGTTTTGACCTATATCGATTAATATAAAAAAAACGTCTCGACCTAAAATAGAATAATATTATATTGGTTTATCAATTGATTAATTATTCGTACATACGTAGTAATGTATAAAATTGATCATCAATTACAATATAGTTTGTGTGTGTGTGTGAAATTGCTCATATACTTTAAATATAACTTAAAAGTTTACTTACATAGATGCTATTATAATCTACTAAAAGTAATTATATAATTAATATAATTTTTTGTAAAGGTTATGCTTATAGTTTATAATTATCTATAATAATTATAGTTGAATAAAATAAATGTTTATAGTTAATAATAATTTTTTTATGGCTTATAACATGTTAAAAAATAAAAAAAATAAAAAAATAGAATTTAATTTTTTTTAAGAAAACCGACCAAAGTTGGTCGGTATTTGGTCAAACGGTCAACACTTAATGTACCAACCAAATTACCACGCGACCAATTTTGGTCGGTAATTCTGAAAATCAGAAAGGAATACGGGTTCCCCCCCCCCCATTTCTCTTATTTCTTCCCCAAAATTTCCTTAACTCTTCCCTCAATACCTTCCCTTCCCCTTATCTATTTCCCTCACACAAATCCCATTCCCCACCCCGTGTAGCCCCCGCCCGTCGCCGGAGCTGTCGCCGGAGCTGCCGCCGTTGGCACTGATTTTGGGACTGCCGCCCCTCTCCTTCTCCACCTAAAAATTCTAGGTTTGAATTACAACCCATTTCTTTGTTATTTCTAGTTTTTGTTTCAATTATTTGAACATTGTATTTTATTGTTTCAATTAGTGTTTCAACTCTTTGAACATTGTATTTTATTGAGGACTAGGGTTTAGATCTTGTTTTAATTAGTTTTGTTTATTAAATTTTATTAACTAATTAATTTAATTAGTCTTGAATAGCTTAGTAAGATTGGAATTATACTTTGTATAGTCTTGAATAGTTTAGTTAGAATCTAGGGTTTAGTAGTAGTAGTAGTTGAACTTTTAGTTTATGAATTGGACCTTTTGGATATGAATTGAATTTTTAGTTTATGAATTGAACTTTTTGGATATGAATTGGACTTTTAGTTTATAAATTGAACTTTTAGTTTATAAATTGAAATTTTAGGATATGAATAGAACTTTTAGGATTTGTAGTTGAATTTTTAGTTTATGAATTGGACCTTTTGGATATGAATTGAATTTTTAGTTTATAAATTGAAATATTTGGATATGAATTGAACTTTTAGTTTACTGTAACGCCCGACTGGTCGTTTAGCCTTCTAGAACCCCGTTCCCCTAAATAAGTCTTTCCGTACTTGCTTTGACTTATTTACGACTTGCGGGAGGGATTTGGAAGAGTTTGGACTGAAATCGGAACACTTAGTTCCTTAAGGTTGGCTTAAAAGGTCAAGTTTGACTTTGGTCAACATTTTTAGTAAACGGATCCGGACTTGCGTTTTGACGGTCCCGGAGGGTCCGTAGGAAAATATGGGACTTGGGGGTATACTCGGAATCAAATTCCAAGGTCCCTAGCTCCGAGTAATGAATTTTTTGTTAAAAATTGTTAAATTGAAATTCTAAGGATTTAAAGAATTGAATAATGGTTGATCATGTTGGTATCGGGCCCGTATGCTGGTTCCGGAGCCCGGTACAGGTCCAATATAATATTTAAGTCTTGTTTGCGAAATTTGGTGAGAAGCGGGATTGATTTGACGTGATTCGGACGTCCGGTTGTAAAAATAGGAATTTGATTGCTCGAGCAAGTTAGTACAATGTTGTTGGACTTTTGTGGGTGTTCAGAGTGGAGCCCCGAGGGCTCGGGTGAGTTTCGGGCATGGGTTGGGGGTGAAAAACACCCCAGTTTTCTGGTGTTTCTGGGAAATGTTGCAGTCTCGCAAATGCGAGGAAATGTTCGCAATTGCGAACCTCGCATTTGCGATGAAGCCAGGCTAGGGGCAGTCATCGGATTTGCGACATTTTCCTCGCATTTGCGAACCCAGCAGGGTCCGCATTTGCGACCCCTGTATCGCATTTGTGATCAAGGCAGGAGGGTGGCCAGTTCGCAATTGCGATGCTTTTGTCGCAATTGCGACTTCGCATTTGTGAACCTGATGTCTCAAACCTGGACACTGCTTTTAAAAACGGGACTTAGGCCATTTAATTCATTTCATCTCTACACTTGGGCGATTTGGGAGCTTTCAAAGAGGGGATTTCGACCTAGCATTGTGAGGTAAGTTATTTCTACTTAATATGAGTTTAATACTTGGGTTTTGGGTAGATTAACACACAAATATTAGTAAAAATTCATGGGATTTGAGTAAAACCTAGGGTTTTGATAAAAAT